CGTGACAGGCAATCTAATGAGGCGCAGTTGGGAGCGGCACGGAGTCCAAACATCTGTGATATAACAATACGTGATGGATTGGCATGAAGGATTGCGTGGCAGTGTTGCATAGGCACAAGACCGTCTGGGTGGAATCGATACGCAGGTTATGGATATGCACATCGTATATTTTCTGGAAAACTAGCATATTAGGCAGCTGGTAAATGTCCTGTCTCAAACTAGTAGAAGGGAACTTAGAAAAATGCGGGACCATTGGTTCGGATGAAAAACCTTGAAGAAACTGCACTATAATGCGCAATGTTGAACACGTAGGGAAAGAACGCGGGGGTCTTGACAATGAAATGGTTTTGCACGTGTTGTCCCGTACCTTGACCCACACTGGGAACTCCAGTCCTGTTTGCGAAAAGAATGCAACGTGTCAGTTCATGCCACAATATGCCACATAATGCCACTGTTGGCTATATATCCGCCACAAGAAACATCATCATGATGAGGCCATTGTAAGGATGGGCAGAACCTAGCAAGCAACTCAGCATATTGTGGTCCCGTAAAACATGCTACATACGCAAATGGATGAATAATTATCGGGTGCAAATGTGACAGCAGTCATTGACAACTTGTATATCTACCTTGTTTGGACACCTGACCGTTTGCACCAGGACTTTATGTATAAAGTCCTTAGTGTCTGAGGCTCTGGTGGTTATTTCTTCTTGATCGAAATTTTCTGGAGCTAATGTGTTTGGATGAGCCAAGTGTTGTATATATTTTCCTAGAGTTCAAGGCTCACCGAAACAATCACAGCGTAGTCACCTTATAAAATCCTGTTATGAAGTTCTATACCTCGAACCACTCAAGATATCGGCGCGCATCTTTTCTTCTCAAGGATCTCATGGCACCGTATCGGGGAGCGACCGGAGGCATTGACCCCACCAAGCAAAACCACACGGTGTCGTCTTTAGTCGTGTAATTTGAAGGCTGGTGGCCTTCCAAGTTTGCTTTCTCCAGGATTTTCAATCGCTAGAGGGCGGTATTGTCATGTCGATCTTTTTGGATCGGAGCGGCAGACGGAGTCACATCCCGATGCCAAGCGCAGGGAACAGTAGGCGAGTATGAGTCCAGAGGAGTGGAGTGGGTGTCACCTGGTTATGTCTCTCTCTCTCTCTCTCACTCTCCATGTTTGCAGAGTTAGCTTGTTTCGCTGCTTGCACTGCTTGTTCATCTGATCACTCGTCATCGCGCCGCCCCCTTTGCTTTGAGAAACATGCAGCACCAGCAGACCTCAAACACTGGTGAATCACGCCCAGGCCTCCAGCACCAAGAAACTTCCAGAGTGTTAACCATCTGTTTTCATGCTAATTCTTTTTTGCTGGGCGTTGAGGTCTCCAGGACTCGATACCAAACCTCAGCACCTATATATATGTATATACCGCGTTTCAAGCACTAAGAAAAACAACCCACTAAGAAATGTGCGTCTTGTAAATGTGTCGCTCAAAAATTGCACCCCAGTTGCCAGCTTGATCACAGGGACCATCATCTGCCAAAGGATCTGTAAAAATCGCTATTGTTTTGATGATGTGTTGGTTAAGCGCAACCAGGAACTTAAGCAGAGACTTTACTTCACCGATCTGCCCATGATTCCAGTCATCGCATCTATGAAGGTGTGCACCTCGGGTGTGTTGGTTTTTTGCCTGCGCGAGCAGCTACCTCATCTGCAACACAAGTGCCAAGAATGTGGTCCCGGGCGAGACCAGGATATTTATAGGGGTCTTGATGCGATCTAATTTTTCAGTCGGAGCTTCACTGGGTTCCATCTATTTGGTCAGTCGGAATTTCACGCGGTTCCAAACTTTGAAATCTTCGAAGCAGATCATTGTGGGCAAGTTTATGAAAGTTTGGATTATCATGTGAAGGCTCCACTGCATGAAGGAGCAGGAGTAGTAGTGGTAGTAGTGGTAGTAGTGGTAGTAGTAGTAGTAGGTAGTAGTAGTAGTAGGTGGTGGTGGTAGTAGTGGTGGTAGTGGTGGTAGTGTAGTAGTGTAGTAGTAGTAGTAGTAGTAGTAGTAGTAGTAGTAGTAGTAGTAGTAGTAGTAGTAGTAGTAGTAGTAGTAGTGGTAGTGGTAGTGGTAGTCGTGGTGGTGGTGGTGGCGGTGGTCGTAGAAATATAATAGCAGCAGCAGCAGCAGCAGCAGGAGGAGGAGGAGTAGTAGTAGTAGTAGTAGTAGTAGTAGTAGTAGTAGTGGTAGTCGCAGTAGCAGCAGCAGTAGTGGCAGTAGTAGTCACAATAAGTTTAAACAAGCGCAAAAAGACACAGGATCAAACTAATAAGGGGTAGTAGTGCAGATTATTGATGGGGGACCGGCCCTTGTGAAGGGTACCCTTTGTGAGCTTGTCAAATGATTGTTTTAACTTGCTGTTTCAAAAGGCAATTTATAGGCCCTGAGCCCTAGACATTTTTAGGATTTCATCAAACAAAATGTAGTAGGTAGTAGGTGGTAGGTGTGGTGGTGGTGGTGGTGGTGGTCGTGGTGGTGGTGGTCGTGGTCGTGGTGGTCGTGGTCGTGGTCGTGGCCGCCGTGGCCGCCAAGGCCGCCCTGGCCGCCGTGGCCGCCGTGGCCGCTGTCGTCGCCGCCGCCGCCGTCGTCGTTGTCGTCGTCGTGGTAGTATAGTGGTAGTAGTGGTGGTGGTGGTAGTAGTGGTGGTAGTGGTAGTAGTGGTGGTGGTCGTGGTGGTGTAGTGGTGGTAGTAGTGGTAGTGGTAGTGGTCGTGGTCGTGGTCGTGGTCGTGGTCGTGGTCGTGGTCATGGTCGTGGTCGTGGTCGTGGTAGTCGTAGTCGTAGTCGTAGTCGTAGTCGCAGTCGCAGTCGCAGTCGCAGTCGTAGTAGTAGTAGTAGTAGTAGTAGTAGTAGTAGTAGTAGTAGTAGTTGTTGTTGTTGTTGTTGTTAGTCGTAGTCGTAGTTGTAGTCGCAGTAGGAGTAGTAGTAGTGGTAGTGGTAGTGGTAGTGGTAGTAGTAGTAGTCGCCGTCGTCGTCGTCGTAGTAGTAGTAGTAATACGAAAAATTGACCCGCTCTCCTAGGGGGGATGAGCTGAAGTAGTTTGCCAGGTGAGCTGGGGAGGTAGCCTCCTATGTGAGCTATGGATGTGGTTCCCTAAGTGAGAGCTGGGGAGGTAGTTCTGCTAGGCGGATTAACCAAATTACAAGAAGTATTGGTTGCTGATTTCCTCCCCAATGGTCCAATTTTCTACCAGAAATCCCCCCCAGTTAATCGAGCCTAGCTCTCCTAGGGGGCTAGGCCCCCAGCTCCAGGCAACCATCAAAGGGGACTGCATAGAATTAGGTACGGGATGCACGAGTCTGCTTGGTGGAAGCTATATCCTGCAAGGAGGTGACTGAGCAGTCAAAAAGTAGTCAAGTTCGGAAAGTGCTTTAAGGTGTAGGTAATCGATTTACTTGTGAGGCACTAGGGCTCGCGGACTCAGGCGGTACTCTGATGGATCTCGGGCTTGTGGCTTATGGAATTAGGGCGCATTCGAAGCCTTCTACAGCACGGTGCTCGAGACACTTGGAGCCCAGACATGTAGGTTTCGACCAAAGAGGTGCTGAAGTGAGGACTTTAAGTAAGAAAGCAAATGAAATGAAAAATGAACACTTCCCAGGATTTTGTCTCTTCTGTGTTTATTTAAATACTTGAGAGGCGAGTTTCTTCATACTTAGAGGAGCTTTATACACGTTTAAAGGGAAACGTTCAGAATTAGGTAAGGGATGCACGAGTCTGCTTGATTAGGTAAGGGATGCACGAGTCTGCTTGGTGGAGACTGTATCCTGCAAGGGGGTGACTGAGCAGTCAACAAATAGTCAAGGTCGGAAAGCGCTTTAAAGTGCAGGTAATCGATTTACTTGTGAGGTTCTAGGGCTCGCGGACTCAGGCGGTACTCTGATGGATCTCTACTAGTAGCTAGTACCATGCAACTCACCATGCAGGTGATCATTTTGCGCAGAGAAGACTGACTAGAAGGTGCCACCTGAAAAGAACTCTAATCCGCAGAGAAGACCGCAGGTGTCAGTGCCACTCCGCATGGACGCTGCATCGCCGGACATGAGCAAGCAACATGGAAAGACGGACGCACATGCGCCCAGTAGTGCCCGACTCGTGACCCTGAGCATGGATGCCCCAGACCACAGGACTCCTGAAAGCTTCTGACAACGGCCGATGAACTCGCTCCCGATCGTGGTGTTGCAGTCCAAGTTGACCAGGATGTGATTGTGTTCGCCTGGCGCTTCGCGGGAATTCTTGGCCCAGCTCACATGAAGCCACCCGTCGGTGCCTGTCAGATCAGCAAAGCCAATGTCAACTTCAACACCAGCCTCGAGCAAAGGGCGAGCCATTGAGAGCAGTGTCAGGGTCGTGGTCTCACCGCCATAACTTTACATTAAAGAGAAAACACTCACCATGAGTCGAGGCCAAGCAGTGAAAACTGGATCAAAAGTTGGATCAAACCATGACCATGCTGGACAAATCGATTCACCGCCTTTTTCTGGTTTTACTCAACGTCTATGTGCTAGAACTCGTTCAGAATCGACATGAGGCGCCGTTGGGGCCACCGGCCCCCACCGGCCGCAATGCCGCCGGTGGGGCCGCTTCAGGCCTCTGTGACGGAATCAACAATCATGAGCCCTCCTTCTGTCCACTTCTGCACCAATAATCATGAGTCCTCCTTCATCAACCATGTTCACTGCAGGAACAAGCGATTGTTCTGCTCGATCACGGTAGATTCTTCCTGCCTTAACTCCTTGCAGCCACTGCGCCATGCTCGATGTTTGGCCATGTTTGGCCTCTGTGCCATCCGATGGTCTGGGTCCAAAACGCAGCTCCGGACCAGCAGCATGTTCTGCAAACACCGCGGTTCGGAGACAAGGAGTCACGACCAAGACACCACATCTCACGACCCATCCCACCTCCCTTTTCGGCCGCACGGTCGCAACGCTGTGCGCTTGGTGGCGCCTCCGGCACCTTCGACTTGCTTTCGTTTCGGGAAGCCTGAGGCGCTTATGAGACACAGGGGGTTCCTGTGATCGCTGGTGTCTGAGCTCAAAATGATGAAAAGGAAGAATCAAGGATTCATCAAAATCCATCAAGAGCGCCAGAAAGAAAAGACGTAATTACCGTGTTCCAGGACCCTCAAAGTGACCTTTTGAGATCCTGGAATGAGATCACTTAGTCCCTAAAGAGGCACTTGGAGACTCCAAAGAGATCTTGGAAGGTCTTGGTTGTTCATAAACACACCAAAACTGTTGAAGATTGAACCGAAGGAGGCCGTTGCTCCAAGCACAGGAATGATCTAGGAGGATGCCACTCAGCTTGTCAAACAAGGGCGAAGCGGCTGTGGCCTACCCTCCCAAAAGCACCAGCCTCTTCCACTGCCTCTTCCCCAAACCATGAGCGCCCACCACGGCGGGGCCTCCACTTTCATCTTACCGGCCTCCGGGACCTCTGCGCCGATCCCGGCCCCAGGCCGTTGGTCCAAGGACAGGGAGCTTTGTTCCACGTAGCGGGATTCCACGTCGTTCGGGATGAATTCACCAGCATGGTGGTCAAGGGAATGGGTGAAGCAAACAAAGCAAATATGTGGGGTGATGCATGCCCTACAAAAACTGAACACACTGGATGGCAAAATGCGACATGACCTGGCACCCAAGATCACTTTAAGCTAGCTTTTGAATGACAGAATGTTGAGGGGCTAGTTCAACTTTTGGCCAACTCAGTGTTCAAATTAGGTCCTTGAAAGGTAGTGCATCCCAGGGCCCCCTGCTTGGGGTGGTTCATGGACACCCCGAATCACCTCTAAGGAGCTACTATTAGACACCCCTTAGCCTTAAAGGGGCCAGGGGCTTGAACAAATTGCATGGCCGCCACTGCCTTCCTCCACGTTGTTGTCTGCATGCATTTTTTCCAGTGATGCCTCGCCTCCAAGCGCATTGGCACAGGCGGCATCTTCAGTTTGCCACTGGGCGGATGGCTCTCCTCACCGCTTTAAGCCGATTCAACGAGGATGGGCCCCCTAAAGACACTGAAAACAGGGATGGATTGGGTAAAATCCCAGTAAACCAGAGCCCAGTGGATGATGATGGTTCAGTTGGAGGCCGACATCTCTGAGTGATGTTCTTGTGAAACCCGGCCAGTACAGGTAAATGGGACAAACACAAGGCGCACAAGGTATGGAAAAACCACGGGTTTCCGACCACTCTCGGACATACCAGTGACCAACGCGAAGCTGAGAGCAGGGTGTTCTTCGATCCAGTGGGGAACAAGCTGAGAACAGCAGCTTTGGAAGCCAAGCCTTAACTGGGTTCAAGAATATCATTCCAGTATCATTCCCCAAACCCGCTTTGATTTAAAGAAGCTGATTCCGCACTGTGGGAATTGTTATATAACAAACCGTATCGTCACAAATCATCATTTTGTGGGACAGCCCTTTCGATTTTTGCTTGGGGCTAGCCGCTTTCAAGCGGCTCACGGGGGGTCACTCGGCACCCATTACGAAGAACCCGCCCCCCCACGAGCCGTGGACGCAGAAGCACCAAAAGCCCCACGATGGTCGTGGCTCGCGAGATGCCAGGCCGTCTGACGTGGGAGTCATTCGTTCAAAACCGACCGCTACCGCTACTGACTGGTGCTTAGTAAAGAATGAGGGAATGGATCCTATGGTATCTATAGTGAGAGGTCATTCTCTCATGCCTTACTAAGCACCAGTCAGGCTATACTCCAATCCCCCCTTCTCAACCGCGTCTCGCTGGCGCATCATCAGTTCTGCCTCCGTGGATCGAAAGCGGCCGGACCCCACAAGCCAATGGAGCCACGAGCGATCGGGCCGTCCTGCTCCCGTGCATCAGCTTGGTCCAGTTGCGGAAGCTTGGCAACTGGCACCGAAGGTGGCCACGCTGGCTAGCTGGGGGGGAGTTCGCCCGATTTCGCCCATGCAGAGTTGGATGTTTTTCTAAAAAAGCGAGTTAAGCGCCTTTTGTAACCCTCACTGGGGTGACACCACTATCGCATCAAGTGCAGCTTCTTCAGTCTGGCGGTGGAGAAAAGCCACGGGTCCAACAGGTGACGTTCTAGACGATGAATTGGATGTACCCTTAGGAGTCCTGAGACACCATTGATTTAAGGGTTCGAATCCCGAACAACCATTGTTCTATACTACAACCCCAAGCCTTCAAAGACCATGTGATTACAAAAATGGTTGCCCTGGTTTTGAAGTGTAACATCCTTACCAGTAGTACAACAATGGTTCTGCAGGATTCAGCCTATTATGATAATGAGGGTTGGAATCCTAGGGCAACACCAGTTCAATCAGGGTCAGGGTGCAATTGGCGACCCAAAAAAGGAGATTTTGAGTCAAACTTAAGCAAATTGGTTAGAGAACATGAGCCTGAGTCGATGATACCATCAGCGGCCACGACCAGAAGTCTCCACAGGTCTCCACCATCCATCTCTCCCTTGTTGCATCTGGTTGAAGTCCTTCTTCCACTCTCCAGATTCCCTGACCCGCTTTTGCCATTCCAAAGAAGAACTCGGTACCACACTTGTCTGATCAAGACCCTCAGCAGGACTCATCTAGGAATCACCTGAGGTCCGCTCCGCCACCCCCATGCGATCCGCGATCCGCGCGGCGGAAGCCTCCAGCTTTGCGCTCCGGACCCGTCGCTGGGAGCGCAGGGCCGAGGCCCAGCAGGCCGGTGGCTTGCAGTGGAGGAGCCTCATGGCCTTGGAGAATGGGAGCTCTTTGGGGGGGGGGTTAGGAGCCCAGGGGTCCCAGAACATCTTCGAAACGGGGGATGAAACCCCTCAGGTCGGGGTTTCAGAAACATCACCTGCCACACCACACTGCCCAACAAAGAAGAGGTGATCAAGGGGGTGACTTGGAAACGAACATTAGGTATGCACCATGGAACAAGGGGGGAGAGGAAGTTTGAGGGGCCATGTACTCGTTCGCCTTCAGTTCGACCATTTAAACGACCTGGTGTTGGTCGTGAACAAATCTTACAGCAAGACAATGCTTCTTCGGGATTCAGGCTATTAAACCAATGAGGGTTGGAATCCTAGGGTCTATCCCTTGCGTACTCCTTTTCGATCAGTTGAGATGATCGGAATGCTACTGTAGTTGTTTTTGATCAAAAAGACTTCGATCCCTTCGCGATTTGCGGTTGAGTAGGGATGGTCGGGGATCAGTCTCCGGGGATCAGTCCCTTGACTGTCCTTGACTTCATCCCTTTTGACTTCAAGAAGACCATCAACCAAAATGGGACAGACCTGGTTTTGTAGTGTAACTCCTTTTTCTTGGTTCGGTATTCAGCCGATTCATTTAACGGGGGTTGGAAGTCTAGGGCATGGTTTTCCACAGTTGTTTGGATTTGACAGCTGTTTGAATGACGATTCAGAAAACAGTGGAAGAGCAGAGCGAAAAAAACACAGAACACATCATACTGTATGGAGAGCTTGGGAAACTTGTCCACTCCAAAAGCACACTAAAGCCAACCAGCAGAGGTTGAAGAACCCTATAGGCTATCCCTAGAAGTTAAAAGACTATATTTTGACCGGCTGGAGTAAAGGAAGTTTCCTTTCAGTTCCCTTAAAGACCATTCTTTTTATAGTCTTTGACTCCCAGGGCTATCCTATAGGTAGTCTAGTAGGGTCCTGTTTACGGTCACTTAACCTCTGTTGGAAAGCAATCCTTTTTCCATCACAAGGCCGGCCCTGCGCATCCGAATCGAGCGTCCGAATCGAGCGTGCCGGCGTCGCAGAAGAGCTGGTCCCGCACTGCTGACGTCACGGTTCCCGGCTTTTTCGCCCTGTCCAACATCCAGAACCGATCACCTCAACGTTCTCGGGATGATGCCAGTCCTTCTTTTTAATGTACTGTATCTCTCAGAACAATTTTTTTGGGGGGAGCCTTTCAAGCCAAAGGAGTTCTTCCTCACTTTCCCTTTGCGACGATCCCGCTGCTCATTCCAAGCGCAAGCCCTTCGCCCTCCGCCCTCGCGGGCATCCGCGTTCCTCTCCGCCGCCCCTCGCGGTTCGGCGCGGGTCACTGGTGCGGCGCGACTCCACGAGCGTGCGCGGCTCCATGGACTCGCGGCCTGGATGGCGGAGGTCGAAGGCTATGGATCGATATGGAGTGTGGGGTGGACATTTTGCGGATTGGAGTTTGGGTGTTGAGCTGAAAATGCCGCCATAGAATTCTGGAGATACGATACACATGTCATTGAATGTCCATGAGGTGGCTGAACTGTTCGTGACGATGATGCTTTGGACTTTGAAACACTCCTGAAAAAAAAGAACAGGACGAGGAGAGAGACAACAGGACGACGAGACATCCAGATGTCTCCCAGGACGACGCGTGAGGTGTTCTGAAGAACGACGAGCATCGGTCAGGAAGGTACACCCGGGTAACCCCGAGACCTATACATAGAACGTTGAAGAACCCTATAGACTATCCTATAGGTAGTCTAGTAGGGTCCTAGTTCAGGTCACTTAACCTCTGTAGGTACATAGAACCTGATGGCATGGAGTCTTCCGATGGTTTGTTCCGAGTATTCCGACCCGATGCGGCTCGAAGACGGTTCCGGTCTCGGAGCCAGGGCGTAGTAGTTCAACAGCCAACTGGCCTTTGGAACAACTTTGGGCGTTCATCGTATTCCTCTTCAGCTGTTTTCACAGGTGACAGGTGCCGCAACAAAATACAACAAGAATCACCTGGCGCGCTACCACTCCACCCTTCCGCAAGTTCAACCCACTGATCGAAAGGTCTTAAAACCACCTTAGGACTTAGGAGAGCTGCACTTGTCATGGTCATGGACGTCTCCTACGGCCTTTATCAAAAGAAAAGAGCCAATCACCTACAATACACTGAAATTCGATGACATTCACCATCAAACGTCGAGGACCATCTTTTCGTGTCCTTCGCCTCAGCTGCTGCCCAGCTGCTCTCGCGTCGCGACGGCTGGGGAGGCTCGGGAGGACCTTCCTCCAGCCGAGAGGAGAGACCTCGGAGGTAAGGTTGACATAGCCATCCAGTACTCACTACTCAGTGCTGGGTGGTAAAACATGGCCTGAACGCCAATCTGTGAACTTTGAACCGAAAGATGTACCACATTGCATGGAGCAGCCCTTGGCTGACTTGCTCACCAATATCAACACCTCAACACCTAAGAGCCAACTGCACGCATACGAGAAGCCTGGCTGCGAGTCCCTGGCTGCAAACCCGAAAATGACGAAACTTGGGACCTTGGAACCACAGAGTAGCGGAGGAATGCAGTCTTACACCACACTTCAAGGTTGTCCTTTTTCATTTCCATCTATATAAGTAATTATAGGTGTATATAATGAGTATATGTACCCTACAAGTCCAAAGACCCAGTAAAACTTGTTCCTTTGCCTCCTTAAGGAGTGTTTTTGTATGACCAACTCCGGTAAAAATGAGGTCTTTGACCTGTAGGGTGTATATATATATATATCTATAATCCTCTTAAAGCCCTCAGGCTCCCGGCTCGTGCGCCTGGAGCCCGGCTGCGGGCTATTCAATGCACCCCTCAGCCGCAGCACGGCCTGAACTGCGAGGCCACCTAGGCCATGCGCAGGGTGTCCAAACCACCCAAGGGATGACTGGACATGGACCCTGTTGCAAAGGACCCTATCACACTTGCCCCCCCAGGAGTGTTGGCGTATGGAGAGAAAGCTTTTTCATTTGAATGTAAGTCTCAGGAGAGGCATTCAGCCTCATGCTCTCGAGATGTTTTTGTGCATTTCGAGTTCTTGGCGCGCTCTGATTTCGTGGCAGGTGCAGTGAATCGCGAACCTTGGACACGCGGCTCGTTTTCCGAATTTGGGAGAAGTGACGCACGCGAACGCTTCGTTTTGGTATCTCCAACTTGTCTTTGTACATTTGTTGCGACACGCACTGGCAGGCCTGCACGATGTGAATCTTGATGTGTGGTTTTCGTGGCATGCGAAGCGCTTTGTGAACGCCCAGGTGGGATTTCGCTGAAGGCGCAGCGCACTCTTCGTGTGCTCTCATGTGTTCTCTCACATATGTGTGCTCTTATGCGTGTGCTCTCATGCGTGTGCTCTTCTCACGCGTGTATACGCGTGTGTTCTCACAGGTGTGCGTGCTCTCATGTATGTGCTCTAGATTGCAGAAGTTTGCTTATTCGCCCTTCTCTTGTTCTACATGGCACTGTTTGGGGTCTCTTGCTGGTATAAGTACTTCTGTAAGAATCTCTTTTGTCGAACAAAGTACAACATGAGTTGCCTCGTGCATGGCAGGCGCAAGGAACCCGTATAGCCTACAGTACGTATATGTACGTATAGCTTGTGCCGATTGATTCTGACCACTAGAACGCTCCAGCCCGAGGTCCTAAGTGACATGGCTTCAAACGTCTTTTTGGACCACTTTGGAAGGCAAAATGAGGCAAGAAAGAAGTTGAAAAGTCGCAGAGTCGATGCAATCCCATCCTAAGAAATCCCGTGATTCCTCCCCAACCATCCACAAAGGAGACACCCCTGGCTTGGAGTATGTCTTTTTAACTGGTGTCCTTCTTTCCTCTTCTAGACCAAAAAAGCAAGCACTCTCTCAACAACTCGAATGCATCCCCTTCGTGACGAACATGAATCCTCCCATACACCTAGGCATCCGCGCCCAACTTCCATCGCTTCACCGCGAGCCTGGGCAATGCATTTTTCGGAAGGGGGACGGGTAGACTGAACTCCTGTGGGGAGCATCACCTACAGGCGAGGCCGCGATTTCGCTGCGACGCGACGCGATGGCCGGGGGGGAGGTGCGATGAGGTGCGATGTGAAGGTGCATCAGATGAGAATACACCTAGTCACCTGGATCTTCCAACTGTGCAGATGTTGATGCCTTTTCATGTCCAAGACCCCGTTTTGCACAGTTGGAAGATCTAGGGGCGACCTTGGGTCTGAGGTGAAATGAGCACGAGTGCAGCTAGCAGGTGCTAGTAGGTGACCAGTATGAGGCAAAAGGTCTCAAATGTTAAGTGGCGAATCAGAGCCAACCATCAAACAAATCCTGGGGATCCATTGCCTGTAACAGTGGATGATGACGATGATGATGATGA